GGTGTTTTGAGCTCTCCTTGACCCCCTCGTGCCGGTGCTTTCCTTCTTTTGGTTAGAAGCTTCATCGGTGACGAGGTGACGTGCCGGTGTCCGCCTCGGAGCATCGCTGCCCCGCTAGCTCGCACGTGGCCAAACCACCTCAGCCCTTCCCGGTTTCAACCGTCACCACCACGTGCACCTCGGTGAGCTCCGATTGCTTTTCAACCACTGCGTTACCTCCGTTAGGGCTCTAGGTCACTGGTACGGCCTCGCCGTCGTCATGAAACATGTTGTCCCAGCCGCCACCAGGGTCGGCTATGTTACAGTGCCTCTCCTGGTACCTAACTGTCGCCTCTAGAAGCACGCTGCCAAAACTTAGATGCTCGGCCACCGTAGGTCACCGGAGACCCTTGTCGATGGCCGGCGTAACCGTAGTTGTCACCGGTGTGCCACATCGTCGCGCGTGGGCATGCCGGGGAGCCGCCCATTGCGGAGACAACACTTTTCAGGGTGTTTTGTGCAAAGCTTGAGTCTAATGAAATAGTGATTCACTATGTTGCTTGATTGTCTAATAGTGTGAGCCCTCTTTTGCAAAAGCACGAGCGTGCGGGGCTCTCCCGCCTTGGGCCGTTGCTGGGCCAACCGGCTGAGCACGACCACGCCCCGCGCGGGCTTCGCGGGCCGCTGGGCCGGATTAGTCGCCACCGGCCTTTTTCCTTTTTCCTAAAGTGTTTTCTAATTTAGTTTCTAAACCAAACTTGTAAATTCCATATAAATTTGTGTAGTTGGCCAAAAATGGTGAAACTAATTTTGTTAGGATCCTAAAATCATGATCTATATGCTAGTATATCTTGTTCACATAGCTTCATAGTATTTTCAGGAGTCATCTAATTAAATTGAGATGCTTAATATTGTTAAGATATAAACTTGTAGGAATTTTGTAATAAATTGGTTATAGTGTTGGCTCTAAAAATTTTACAGTAAATTCCTAATATTATTAGGTGCTCACTGTAATTTTTGTAGCTCCATAATAATTAGTTTGCTAAGATAGCTAATGAGCCCTAGTTTGAATATATATTAAATCAATGAAATGAACTAAAGAAACACCTTGGGATTGTAGAACTAAAACACTTATCGGGAAACAACGCCTTATGCAACAACGTGGATACATAGCCTAGTACGTTAGTCATTAGAGCTAGCTCATAGCTTGAGAGACGTAATCATATTTTAAGAGTTGATTAATTGTGTCTCTACGTTGCATCCACGTATGTCATATTAGGAACAACGATGGATCGTGGAGATGATCGGAGTAGCGGAAAAGATGGTGCCTTGATGATCGTGTCACCATGATGTAATGCTAACTTTTGGTTATATCTTACCTAGACAAGCCCCGGTGCATAACTAATATTATTCTGCACTTTAGTTTATGCTTGTGCATTAAGTTTAAAGGAGTTGAATGAAATCCACTTGCATAAATATATCCTTATCCTATGAGTCTTACTAGTATAACAGGATCATGTAGATTGCTATGCTATAGGATTCTGGTAGAAGTCGAGTGATTACCTGTCACTCGCGAAAGATAGGAAAAGATATTATTGTTACTATTATCATCACATGGAATATGAATGGATAATAATTGGGGACCGGACCAAACTGTACTTTAGATTTGAAATTGGATTGGGTTGGGCAATCGAGCAAGGCTTTGGTTGCACTCGTTCCGCCTGTGTCAATTGAGAACCGTCCGTTGTTGTGGATGATAGTCAGGTCACAGACTTATTATTCTGAGCACATACTTGCTTATGGGAGCGGGAAGACTTGTTACCCTCTTGTCATGGGTTCCGGCTTTTTCCAGACTGACTTTTAGGGGTGGGTATTAAGTGGAGGTCTAAGCACCATACTGAGACCGGGTCTCAGGTGTTGGTGGCTTGGAGTCCAAGTTTGTGCGAGACCTGGACCCCTTGATAGGAGTGGAACGGATTGATCTTGTTTGTGCCTGGGGTACAAGCGAGGCGTGTGTTTCGGGGTAACCAGCTAGGATACATTGATTCGCGAATCGTCGTTTCTTTGAGCCAGTAGGACTTGGCTATGGTCTAGCACCGTAGTAAGAACTAGAATACGAAAGATGGTAAAATGGTTCTAATTGCTTACCACATGCTTGAAAGTAGCATAGATGTTTACATAGAATGATTAGTAAATGAATTAATGATGACTGCTAATAAAATTGAATATAAGGATGCACGTTTAGTAATGCTTCCTGCAGATGCAATAACTCAAAAGCCAGATAGCCTTTTTTTCCTTGGAGTCTTTTATTTTCCTCCTGTTGGGTAAGTCTTGCAGGGTACAATCGAGTACTCAGGGTTTTATTCCCCCTATTACAGGTGATCGGAGGATACATAGATCTGACTCTTGTGTGTGGAAACCTCCTTGTGGGCTCAGAGAGGATTTCTTTCACGCTATGACCGTAGTGTTTATTTATAACCCTCACTAAAAGTTTTTATAAGAAAAAATTTTATGATTTGTCCTCATATCTGGTTTATAAATGTTCACTATGTTAATGATTCATCATTAACCTTTATTTCCGTCGTAACTCTGATCATATGTTGTTCTCCGCTGCAAGATAAAAATGTGAACCTAAAATGTATAAACTCTTTTACAAGTAAAATTGTCTTAATTCCACTATTGCATTCAACTTGTTCAAGTACTCTAATGTTGTAATAAAGTGATGTAAGAAATGGTTAAGAATGTTGTAAGCTTTATTATCTCATTTATGATCTTGACGGAAAAATGTGGATTTTTTTAGTTCTCCCTTGGGATGTGCTCGATGAAACGGCACGATTTAGTGTACTCTCTTTGGTACTTAGTGTCTAATGAAAAATAAGTACTCTTAGGAAGATATTAGATTAGACGGTTCTACCATATGCAGTTATAGAGACGCTAATATTGTCACAGTAAATGACGGTCGCAGAAATAATCAGGACATGAAGCTCTTGAAGCAGTGTGCAACCAACAACACTCAACCATAGCATGTGTGATGGCCCAATACTGAACCTCGGCATTGGACCAGGAGACTGTTGCCTAATGCTTGACCTACTAGGACACCAGGTTCTTACACAAGAAGATGCATGACTCCAAGGCTATGGGCAACGAGCCAACGACCAACCCAAGGCATCGTGAGTCACTCACGGTGATACAGGCTTGTTTGGTTTGAGCTCTGGCAGGCAATGCCTATCGAGGCAAATGATCGTGGCCTCAGGAGTCCAAAATCGGACGCCTGAAAGTGTTGTTTAGCCCATGTAGCTCTGGCCAGGAGCCACTCTCATGTGTACTTGCTGATGAGGGCACGCGATGACCTGTCAAGCAGAGGGATGTGAAGAAGGAGATGGTCGGATATTCTCCTGTTCGTTTGGGCTCGTTTGGCTTATAAGCCATGACTGAAAGTACCGTTGGCTGATTTGGTATGAGAGAAAAATATTGTCCGTTGTCTGATAAGCGATGACTTATAAGCCGAATACAACCAAGCGAATAGGCTTATTAAAGGCACTAACAAGTGTGCCACAATAATGCTGACATGTCCCTTATTGTGCCATAAAGCGAAACCACCAATTAAAACGACTTGAGGGATAGATGAAATGGTTTTAATAGGTGAAAGGGTAGAATATATGATATTTAGCGGGTTAAATAGGTTAACATTAATATTCAGGAATTATATAAAAATTTTATATTCCTCATATACACCAGATTTATAGTATGAATAACAATCTCTACACCTAAAAAGACTCTAAAGTCATCATCTATCTAGTGATACCAAATCTTGATCCTTCCTCATGTGTTTGCGTCCAATACGAATCATGCCCTACTCGGAGCTCATATGTATAAATTCAAAAAATTATGACCCCGGTGCAACGTACGGACATATATTAGTAATAGAATAAATTTGTCATGATGAACGACCTATGTTAGCAAAAGAATAGGGCTCATGTGTTCCTACCACTACCTTTTGAAGTCTAATTATGATTTTGTCCTATTTATTAAACTTTACGATTTTGCTCATGCTTTTTTCAAAATAAAAATCAGAGTTAACATTTGTTTCGTTTAGAAGAGTCAACTGTTTCAGTTCAGTGGAGAAAGATAAGAATCAGAGTTCACATTTGTTTCATTTAGAAGAGTTACTGTTTCCATTCAGTTAAGAATTATGTACTAGTTTTCCTATGAATTTCCCTCAGGTCCGTTTGGATCATTAAATTGAATTAATTTTAATAATTATAATTGAGACACAGGTTAATTAAATTAATATGGCTGTATATGAAATATATTTATATATTATTGTGGATCATACGAGAGAGATATTGTATTTCTACATAGGGGAGCGAGTTGAACAGCATGTTAAGTTGCAAATAGAAAACACATGTAGATCTATAGAATCAATTTTCTCTCCCACACTATGAATTTGAAATAGGCTTATATGTGAACTTTGAAAAGTTGTGAAATATCATATTTCAGCCAAATAGCCAAAAATGAAATGAGAAACGTTTTCTCAAAGTTTTCCCAATACTATGTGATTTATCATATATTTTAACAACGTATAAAAAATAACATCAAACTTGCAAATATATCATATCTAAACATAGTTTAACAAGTTGTCTTCTTCATTTTTTTTCGTTCCTTTAATTTATTCATTCGACTTTTGGAGTCTAGAACCAGAGCGAATGAGAGAGAAGGGTGCCTTAGGATTCAAAAAAACAAGGATAAAATCATTATTGGCCTTCAAAGTAGGACAAGAACACCAATCTCCCAATACAATTACAGATAAAAAGGAGCATTCAGAGTTTAAAACGAAATACTGGATCTGGTTTACTATATATCCTATTACAAGGTTACAGCGGACTGGCGTACACTCGAACGAGTGACTAAACATTTATGGGCAGAACGTGCTCAAGCGACAAAAACCTATCCAGATCCCTTACACAAGAACGGATGGCCCTTGAGTCCTTTCCTGACGCAAAAAGGTCCGCGCGAATGAGTCATTTCTGAACAACCTTAGGGTCGGGCACTTTAAGGATGCCAGCATCAACCAGTGGCTGCAGCTCAGGTTTTGCAAGATCCTTGACCTCCTTACTTGGCGATTCCAGGAAACCTGCAACCACCTTCGAACTGCAACCAGACGTCCAAAATATAATTTGTGAGGTAGATCCAATAACACCATGTAACTATGCAAGTGCAGCAATATGTTGAATTGTTACAAGTTCAGAGTCAATAATGGAAAAAGGGTTAAACATTAAGCCATAATTACACAAACAAGCTACATCTGCACTGCATGAGTTTTGGAAGCACGAGTACATGGCAATATGGCATCACATTGAGAAGTAAAACATTGTACCTGTGTCCTTCAGCCCATATCTTGCACTTCCCTTCAAGAGCCTTTCTCCAGAGAATGACTGCAAAAGCTGGACAGTCAATTATCATTCTTCTGATTACACGGCTGGAAAAGAAGTTCTCAAATGCATGTTCAATATCTTCAGTCTTCGGTTGGGCTGCATCAGACACTATTGCATCATGCAACATGTGGATCCTATCAGTGAGGCCCTCCAAAACATTGTCTTTACCACCAACAGCGATCTTCAGGTTTCAAATAGCACCACGCAATTCAAGTCAGGATAGTCATGAAATTTATACAAATGATAACAGGGGGAAAAAAACTATAGGTAGGTCTGTATGAAGCATTATGTACATAGTTATTCTCCTGTCGACTCAACACTTCAAGACACTAGGAACATCCCAAAGAAAGTAGATTGCATTAACTGATAGAGCTTTCTCCACATTAGATAGAGAATCAATAGCCAGATTAACATAAAGGTCCACAAAAGTCATCATTTGTCAGTCCAATTTTGTACTGGAAGATAAAATTAATATGGAATGGGCAATGGTCATTATTAGAAAAAATGGTTATCTTTCAAAACAATGCTATAGGAATTTTGGACTTCTACACTAAATTAACATGGCATGAACAATGAACAATGGTCATTATTGGGTAAAAAAAGGTTATTATACAAATCAATGTTGTGGTAAGGAATTGCTTTGGTAGAAAACTACCAGAGGAAAAAGGTTTATGCCATACTAAGGACAAATTGAACATCAAGATCATGATGGCAAAAAGAGTTGCACATAAAAATCATAAACAGTAAAGAGCAGGTTTCCCATCTCCATGGAGCCATGGATAACAGCAGATCACCTCATATAATACTTCTTTGCTAAAATTTGTTCGAAGTAATTCTCCAACACTTTCAAGGCATGATTGGATGAGAGTCTGCAAACAAATTTAAAAATATATATTAGGAGGACGAAATCCAGTCATCAAGTGCATGAGATGCTTATAAGGAGGATAAGATGTTTATGTTTACTCCAGGTGCTTGAAGTGTACTAACAAGTTAGTTGAGCTTATTTAAGAACCCGTTTGCATTGGTGGGACTAACTTTTATAAGGGCAGCACTAATGCAAACAGGAGTGAATGTAATCTCCAATACATCAATTTCCATCCACAAGATTATTTCATATTTGGGTGCCATTAGTATTTAGCAAGTATGCTTCCACAGCATAGTAAATAGAATTCCATGGAGATAAGTGCAACCACAAGAAGACAGGCCAAGGCACAGAAATATAATCAGAATCACTGGTAACTTCAGAAACAGAAAGGCAATAACCTATCTTATTTCAAAGGATACAGAATAGTCACTACGTACGCAGACAAAAAAGGGTGGATACACAAGCAATGCTGCAGGTGACCTACTACTGCACATAATATACTGTCCACTTATTTTGCTTCCTTTCTATAACCATGGCTGTTCACACAAAACATTGTGCACTAAGATCAGCAGCCTGGAATTAGAGTTTTTGTGATTAAACTATATCTACCCTAGTTGCAAGAATTAACACGTTTCTTAAAAGAATGATATGTTATTTAATGAAATAGGTACGGGCATCACCTCGGCAAGCTCACTTTTGATCAACAGTTCATGTCGCCTTTGTAATGGATCCTTCTTGCTCTCAGACACAGTTTGCATGCCTACTAAGCCATTGGGATCGTCATCAATCACACCATCTACTTCATTTTCTGATTTAACTTCGGTAGCACTCTCTGATATCTCACCCTGAACCAGAAACATCAACTATTTAGGATATCTTTCTCTATAGAATACTTGGAGATGAAGAGTAGCTAACTTGCCTCCATTGGACTAAGAGAAGGTACATTGTAGTTCAGACAAGCCAGATCATCCGGAGAAAGATAGCGTGAGCAAAGAGGGTGAAGTAGTTGCAGCAATGGTCGCGTCTCCCATTCTGTTCCAGCAAGTAGATCCATTAGTACTAGTCTTAATCTTAAGTACACAAATTTACAAAAATCCAAGATAAACTATTCGGACAAAAGGAAACTATTACCTTGTCAAAAATGAGTTGCTTTATATGTTTTGCCAGCTCTTGAATGACAATCTACCAGGCCAAAGATAAAATGTTAGTGTCGCCCATTTCTAGCTGCTTTGCAACAAGAGGCATGATTCTCAGAGAAAGCAAACTGTAGGTGCTAACCAACCTTAGAAACAAGCTTTGTGTCATCAACAATGGAAATAATGCAGATAAGGAACTGGATAAAAAGAGATGTGTTAGCAGAGGACTGAGGGTAAATCGAATCCATTTTAAGAACAAACTTGAATCTTGTCTAGAACAGGTCACAATATTCCCAATTTAAGAGCCAAAATAATTGTAAATAAATACAGTCATTACTCACAAGACATCCAAAATCACTTAGAGCAAGCTTCATAATGTGCCCTTCAAACTTTTAATGATCTTCTTCCTGTCCTGAAATACATTGCCATGTCCATTTAGTCTTGTTAATGAAGATAGTACATACAGCAGAAAATAAATACGCAATAAGGAGTACTCGGTACAATGTAGTGCATAATCAATTTGCAAATATACAAGCACCACAAAATTTACAAAAATAAACCAGCACCGAACAAAACACCAGTGGATAGTAGCGGAGAAAGTGATTGAACTGGAGTTAATATATAATAAGAACCTGTACAGAAATACCTTTGCACTGCCATGCTTGAGGCAACTAATTCCTAGTTTTAATCCTTCCCTTGTCTGCATGATCCTAACGATAAGTGGCTCTTTCGACCTTTTCTTCTTAGCTTTTGTTTTCTTTGGTAGCTCCGGAGCATTTGATGGTTCATCTCCATCTATGATTAATGCTCCTTGAGTAAGAAGGGGGATAAGTTGACAAATAACGTCCGAGGCTGAGGTCTACCAAAACAGACATAGGTTACAATGTGATAAACTGAATACTTAGTTCACAGATGAGGGCAGGTAAAATAAACATTGCACAACAAAGGATACAATGCGATTACCTTATCTGCAATTGTAAAGTACTCCAATATGGCCGTGTGCACTATTGAATACTCAACAGTACCTTTCTCCAGGATTTTATGAATCACAATAGTCATGTACTGCAGGACAGATGATATCTGCAACCCAAGCTTGGAAATTGTATCTATCAAACTGGAAAAGGAGTTGAACATTAGGATTTACCACAAAATAAAATCCATGGAACTGTTGTATCTAGAGACAAAAAATATCTCTCGTACGGATAACCAAAGTCACATTAATTTCCCCTATAATTCTAAGACAGGGAAAAACTGCAAAAGACATGCTTAGCTCTAGGTTATTACAACTGTTCATAAGATGTTCAGAAAGAATAAATAGCAAAGGGAACTTCTAAAATACATGACCAGGATTCCAGGATGTATATTGCACCAACCAGCAGGAACTTTGCAAAGTCAGATCCTGGAAAAGCTGAAGTTCAGTGGAGTACAGTTCCAGTAACAACTGTCTTTTCTGACGTTTTGTTCCCCGCTGAAATGCATAATCAACGACTGCAAGAAAGAACATATATTGATGGGACCTTGATTTATTTCAATTGTTTCTTATAGGAACACATGAGAAGAGAAAATGGCGAGTCTGAAGCCATTCACTGCAATAACATAATTGAACACACACCTGCAGCTCCTATAGTATGATGAAGAAGTTTGGCAACACGACCATGAAGAGAAGAGATGAAACTGGCAAACTGTTTTTTAGAGGCTGCAACCGCAAACAGGAGACATGTTAATGAAGCTAAGGGTCATATCAAACTATCATGTAACATTCTAACATAGCCACATGCCCACGCGTGATCTGATCCGTATATAAAGTTATACGAAATGTACCGAGTTCTACAAGCTTCTTTACAAGGAAAACCGCATATTTCTTGCGAGAAAGATCGAGCAAATGTGGATGTAGAACATCAAAAATAGCATCCCTCTCTGACTGTGAGCACCACTTTACACATGTCTGCCAAAAGACGGTAATCAACTGATCATCAAAAGCCAGGACACAGGCAACATAACAAAAAACGCAGCAGATTGACAAATACTGTGTGTGCTCAGCTTACTTGAAGAACACGTGCAGTAATATGTGATGTGGCGATATCCAAATATTTTCCATCCATTTTCTTGATAGCCTCACTTACTACCCTGGAAAGGTGACAATTATGTCAATGTATATGATTGCAAACATAAGATACAAGACTGTGATCCAAATGCCTACTTGGACCTCTCCTCTTTGCTCACATCGTGGCATCTCATCTTTTCCCACAGTTTCGTTAGTTCCTGCCGGTATTCAGGGTCAATCAGAGCAAAAGAGCATTAAATATAGCAAACTGACGAGTTTACTGTCACCACAAATGTCAGTCAAGGTTGAAGAACTTGTTAATGTTGATGATCTTTGTGGGGGTAACGTCACAATTCGAAAAGGCAAAAAATCAGGTTTGGATAGTTGAGCACATAATAATCATCAAAAGAACCGTCCAATATCTAAGTACCGCAAGCAGAACCTAGTTGCAGAAACTGACTCTATTTACATAAATACATACAGGTTGATGTGTTCAGTCCATAGTGGATTGATCGACCATAATGCAAGTCAGGTTGCAGCTTTACAGCAAAAGTGTTACAACTAGAATCATAATTGTGACCTAAAAACAGGTGCTGCAAGCCCCAAATTGGACAAATTGGAACATACGGTGCGAAAAAAAAAGCTGAAGTACCTTCTCAAGGCTGTAATGCCGCTTCCTCTTCATCTTCCTGGCCTCCGACATTTCCTGTTACAGTCCAGCCCGTCCGTCAATTGAAGCTCAGAGATACAAATGCAGCGGCCTCGATCGAAGCCCATGCTCCAGCGCTTCCGAGCACAAACGAGCATTTAAGAGATACCTTGGCCGCGAGGCGCTTCTCCTTGGGGGTAACCGGGGTCTTCTTCCTCGCCACAGCCTCTCCGGCCCCGCCATCGGCCGCGTAGCCGCCGGCGGCCGAGTGCTTCTTCCGCTTCGCTCCGTCCCCGCCTCCCTTAACATGCGGCCGAGGCTTGGCCTTCCCTTCCGCGTGCTCGCGCTTGCGCTTCTTCGCGCCCTGGAGATCGCCGCCGCCCGCCATCGCGCGCGCCGCTCGCTGCTCTGCTGTGGCGACGGAGGACGAGGAAGGGGTTTTCACCGGACCAGATAGGCCCTAGCTAGGGTTTATACGAGGTCGCCCGCCAGTGGGCTAGTATTAGGCCTCAGTGGCGGCCCGCTCAGGGTATCTTCCGGTTTCGGGCCATGGCGCCTGCAGATGCGTCCGGTCCAGCAACCGAGGCCCAGGCTCAAGATGTTTCGAGGCGTTTGCTTTGCTCGTGCCCAGCCCAGCTGACCGGTCAAAGCGAGCGAGGGCAGTTCCGTCAATTCGTTGAGGGTGGGAAATTGAGGGTTTTCCCGCCGCGTGGGCCTGCACTTCTGCCGCCAACCTGATTTGCGCCGGATCGGCTGGACGGGCCTCGGCTCCTCTTTCTGGGTCGTAGTGTCGGTCTGGCCTGGATCTGGTGCGGCGCGGTCGCGCGTGGGCGCCCGTGTGGCACCCTCGCCGCATCCTCAAATTTGAATTGAAGTTCACTGAGGGCACGTACAGCGGGGCGATTCAACCCGTCTCTATGTCTTATTTTTTGCAGAATACACCCTCGGGACCGAGAAGACCGGCGAGTCCGTCGTCTCGTGAGGCGACGACGCTGGCTCGTGCTCCCAGACTGAGTCGCCAGACAAGGACGCGCTGTATAGCATCGTCGCCTCCGAGCGACGACGAGCGGATCAGGCTGTGCGCGCGCGGGAGTGTAACAGCCTCGGTGTTACTACGTTAATCATCTACTAAAATATGTTACGAGCGTTATACTTGTGTGTTAACGTATGTGGTGAAGTGTGTAGATCAATTTCTGTAATTCAAAATGATCAATAAAAATGCTAAATGAAAGTTGGTTCGATGGTTCATGCATATCAAGTAGGGTTTAAAATCAATTTTTATTAAGCAAAAATACTATAGAACATGTGTGTGATACTTAAACAAAGTTTGAAGTACAAACTTTATAGATGACAAAGAAATATTTGCTTTTGAAAAATAATATTGCTTTGTAATATGTTCAATAGCCTAGAAATCACAAATTGAAATCAAGTTCAGTTCAAAACTTAGAAAATTTCTAAGTCTGTCAATGCTAGACGCAGCTATGTTTACCAATTTATTTGGAGAGATTGGGTTAAGGAGTGGCGCAGTGCTATGATTCGATTTAGTAGTTTCATATGTCATCTTGAGTGTAGTGAAGCCGGTTTAGGTTTAGGAACAATGGTTTGGTCGTGATCAGCGCTTTAAAATTTATGCGCGTACTTGTCTCGGTTGGTGGGCGCCGGGTGCGCGGTCACCGCGCGGGCCTCCCCACGCCGCTCACATGGTCACGTCTCGCGCGGTCACCCTGCGCTACCACACAGGGTTGGTCGGGTCGCCTGGGCTTGGCCGAGGCCGGCCGCAGCGAGCCATTGGCCCCACGCCTGTTGTCCTGCCTCGCGCTACCGCTATTGGAGCCGCCACGGCTGTGCTGCCGCTGACGTCGCGTCCACCCACTGCTAACTCACGTCGTGACGCTGCCACTGCCGTCGTGTCACAACCGTACTCGCGTCTGCTAGCTGCATCGCGCTGCCCCCACCCCGGCCCGGTTAGGTGCCATCCGCACGTGGTCGTGCACGCCGTCGTCACGCTATTAATGGCGCTACAGCGCGTGGGCCATGGCCGGTCGTGGACGCTCGCACTCGTCCCCTCGTGCTTGGACGTAGGTCCCTTGGCCACAACCGCTCGTGTCCCGCCAAGGCGAGGAAGAACTGAGCCCACCTGTCGTGCCCCTTTTCTCTCTTTCTCCCTCTGCTTTATGCCGTCGTCGAGTCGCGGTCACGGTGAGCCAGAGAGCGAGCACCTATCATCAAGTCCTTGTACCCGCGTCTCTGTCTTTACGTCCTCTTACCGAACGCCCCCACCCCACCTTGAGTACGGCCAGGCCGAGCTCTAATTTTGGAGCTTTGCTCCCACCGCCGCGCCATTAAGGCCCAGCCCGCCTCACCGTGGCTAGCTTTAACCTCGCCAGCTTGCGTCGAATTGATCGCACCACTAACCCCGCCTAGAACCCCTCTTCGTCGTGCGCACGCTAGTCACAGCTCTAGTGCCGCCTCCTCACCGCTGACGCGACTATGCCTTTGTGATCTGCCGTTCACCTCGCAGGGCGCACGTGGCCAGCCTCGCTCAGGTCATCTCTGACCGAGTCGGCACCTCGGTTAGGTCACTGGTGAGTCGTCGTTGCTCACCCACTACCCCCACTGCGTTGTTGTTGCTATGACTCACCTAAACGCCATTGCCATTACCGCAGGGTGCCCGCCGTCATGGAGAGGTCCTTCTACGGTGACCCGGCTCATGCAACCGTCGTCCATCGCCTCGTGTCGACCCCTTGGTGAGATTCGGCCTCTTAGCTAGGTTAGCATGGGTCCCAGGTGGCCAGCGCTGTCGCCAGTGCCACTGGTCATCGCGCCGATGCATGTCGGGGAGGCAAGGGACCATGCCGTTGTAAAGAAGAGATAGTACAAGTGTCTTTTTGCATAGGTGATGTCTCTAGGAATAGTAACATGGGCTATAGGTTGTTTTGTTCATAGTCCAGGGGTATTTTTGCTAATATGCCAGCGCGTGTGGGATTCCCGCACCGTGGGCCGCCTCGCGCTGCAGGCCGGCCTCGCGTGGGCCACGCGTGTGGGCCGTGCGGGATAATTCGTTTTTCTTTTTCATAAGGAATTAGAAATAGTTTTCTGATTTAATTTTAAGCTGATCTTAAGTAAATCATATAAAATCATGAAGGTATACAAAAATTGTGCAACAAATTTTGTTAAGTTCCTAAAATTGTGTTTAATCTGTTAGTGCACTTAGTTCATATATATACATATTGATACTAGGAGCTATTAAATAATTTGAGAGTGCTTAAAATTATTATGTTAAGTATTATAGGAATTTTTATGGTAAATTGGTGATAGCTTTAATCCTGAAATTTTTATGGTAGTTTTCTGGTATTATTATGTGCTCACTGTAATTTTGTAGCCCTAGAATAAATTACTTAATATGGTAACTAAATACCCATTAACGCTAAAGAAATAATGACATGATGTTGGTTTATAGAAGTTAAGTACTTGTAGGGTAAGCTTGAAATCTATTTGGTAGAGATCATGATTAGCTTAGTATCTTAGTCATTAGAGCTAGCTTAGTAGTTTAGCATGTGTATTCTTATTTTAAGAGTTGTTGTTGCCAAAATACTAAGTGTTGTATCATCATTACATGCATGTAGAGAACGAGTTGGTGGAGTTCGTGACCGCCGGAGAGCAGGAGTACGAAGGGGTGATCGAGGAGTACGAGAAGGAGGTCCTCGTGTAGGAGGACATCCCGGAGCCATCACTGACTGACTTAGCTGACACCCCGCCTGCCCAAGGCAAGCCCCGGTGTATAAGCCTTATTTTAAATGATCATTGTATATATGTGTGTGTGTGTGTGTGAAGTGCATTTATGTTATAGGATTTATATTGAAACTACATGCATAGATAATCTACTGTCGGGGACCGAATACTAAGGTACCCAAAGAGGAGGAGCTAATTACCATTAAACATTGATGTTTCTGAACAGGCAAGAACACGACTACACCTCTTGTCCAACGATCGAGGGTTAATTCCATCTCGTCCGACACTCAAAGGTTGGCTCCGCCTTGCCCGACGTCTGAGGGCAAACTCCGCCTCGCTCGACGTCTGGGGGTAGCCTCCTCCTCGCCCGATGTCCGGGGGCTAGCTCCTCCTGGCCTGATGTCTAGGGGCAGACTCCGCCTCCCCCGACGTTTAGGGGCTGGCTCCGCCTCACCCAGCATCTGTGCGTTGCTCCTTTATAACTATACGCGTAGATACGGCAGGGCACTCAAGTCAACTACAATACCGAGGACCATGTCCTGCATGCCTACAGGAAAGTACCATCAGGATATGACAAGACGGGTGCTTTAAGGCCCTTCTGGGCGTGTCAGAGCCCGAACAGTGTTGTGGGTGCTGACATTTATTTTACAGTGTTGTGGGCGCTGCCATTGGCCCTCGGGCATGGATCCCAATGGAACCATACGACAACCACTATGGCCCAAGAGGAGACTCACGTCATCTACAGTGATGGACGTGCAGTCACTACGCCGTCCGCTCCCCATGGGGTTGCGGATCAACACCCCGGTCTATCGCGCCGGCCACCGGGGCGGGATGGGACGTAACCACTTACTGATCAAGTTAGAGCGTGGCATCATCAACAGTAGACACCCAGCATGGAGCTATCACTGGCACCGTCTGCCGAGTCAGCACGGCTGGCTCAGAGAAAAAGGAAGACCCAGCACCTTTAAAGGACCTTATTTGCCTCTGGTTCTTCTTCTTTCTCCCATCTATAATCCCTGCTTCCCCTTGGTCTATAAAAGGGAAGGTAGGACACCCCACTAAGGGGACAGTTGAGCAGCAACCAAGCTCTTAGCATCCTTTCAACCTTTCCATCAGAGACTTGGGAGCTGTCCCTCTCTCGCCCGTTTGTAACCCCAACTACGAACCTTTCAGTGCTAATAATACGAGCAGCGGCCGCAAAACTAGACATAGGGAAATTTTGCCCGAATCAGTGTAAACCTTGTGTCTTTTAGCACACCATCCGGGCCAAACGCACAATAATACAAATTTACTCGTTGGTGTTTACTCAAAACACTGATAGTTGGCACGCCAGATAGGGGACCTTTGCGTATTCTGACATTAACATCAGGCCATGGATGGCTAGCCACGGAATCAGCTGGGTCCTAGGCACACACATGTGCTTTGGTGACCTAGACTTCATCGTCATGGTGGGAGGAGTGTTGGCATCGGCTCACACCGCCATCGAACCTCTCCTCTCCATCGGCCTCAACTACGGGAGGCTTGAGCGCTAGCTCGGTGTCTCCCTGGGACCCCAGCCATCCAAGGAGGACCCGCACTGCCTCACCCTCTCTCCGAAACACCCCATAGGGAGTGTCTCAACAGTGCTTTCGTTCGGTCTCCACAACACCACGGCGA